GCGGGGGGGGGGGAATGGTTCGCCCAGCTTGGAGCCCCGGGGGGGGGGGTGAGGGAACAAGAAGCGTCGGGCGCGTCGCCGTGACCTCATGGGCCGTCGCGGAGCCTGGACCCCTGGCGAGTGAGGGTGAAGAAGTATACTCTGGTTTCTCTTCAGATCACATAAATCTTTCGCCTTTTACTAAAGATTTCCGTGGAGAGGAACATCGAGGAGTTCTGAAGGAATTTTTTGAGGCCCTGCTTTGGTGGGGCTACATTTCCTGGTGCAAAAAATAGATTATGTGGTTGACTCGGGTTGTTTCAGACTATGGTGAAGAGTGATTCCTAATCAGTCTTCGTGGTGGATCACTGCCTTGCTGTAGAGAAAAAGGCTTGGTGTAATTTTTATTGAAAAATAACCATTAACTCTAGTAAATGGTCTTTTTGGCAGCTTCACCCACCCACCCTCCAGCAGAGAGCCACGTTAAAACTTTCCTGTTCCGAAAGGCTTTTAATTGGAATAATAACTCTGGGTTCTGATGGCAATTTTTAGAGCATCTATTTTAATTGTAGTGTATTTTAAATGCTTTATCTTTTATTGAAAATGCCCGTTGTCTACAAGCCGTTCCTCTTGCCTCCTTTTCCTTGACTATAAATTGCTGTTCTCAGGGACCCAAATCCTTTCCTCATTTTATGTGCCTACATGAGAAGCTGTGGAGCATTTTCTCCTCCGGGAGACTTTCCTTCAACCCCATTATTTGAGCAACTGATGCTGTAATCAGAACTTGCTTACTTGTGTGAAAGAGAGCCTTAAGAGGACAAGTGCTTACACAAACTGCCCTTAGGCAATCATATACTGTACTGTATATGAACAGGATTCTACCTGAGGTGACCACTTCCTCCTATTCTTTGCCCAAACTCTTTTTTTTCTCTGCATGTAGCACCCTATCTACTTCTCTTCCTCCAGCTAGTTTTTCTGTCAGTTCTTAAGTAGAGGTTCCACTGTAGTTTTTCTGTCATGTTTTTGCGACCTAAGCTTCGCAAGACAGCGATTTAAACAGCTGATCGGCGGTTCGCAAAGCGGCTTTCCTATGGCCGATCTTCGCTAGACAATGATGATTCTTCCCCATTGGAACGCATTAAACAGGTTTCAATGCATTCCAATGGGGAAATGCTTTTCGCTATCTTAAGTAGAGGTTCCACTGTAGTTTTTCTGTCATGTTTTTGCGACCTAAGCTTCGCAAGACAGCGATTTAAACAGCTGATCGGCGGTTCGCAAAGCGGCTTTCCTATGGCCGATCTTCGCTAGACAATGATGATTCTTCCCCATTGGAACGCATTAAACAGGTTTCAATGCATTCCAATGGGGAAATGCTTTTCGCTAGACAATGATTTCGCTAAACAGTGATTTCATTGGAACGGATTATCACCATCTAGCGAGGCACCACTGTACAAACAGTTTAAAAAACACCCCGATTAGAATAAAAACCATTTAAAATTGAAATTCGAAGGCATTGAAAGTAGTTCGCGCGGGGACGTCGGTGAGAGAATAATAGACTAAAGCTGAGTTTCGTCTGTTGCCTGGAACAACTTTATAGATCTCATGGCATTGACGTTATCTTGAAACTGAAATTACTATTCCATGTTACAAGGACTGAGCTGGCAATGCCATCCCCAGAGTTTACTCAGTTCCCGGGCATGAGTGTGGGAAGCGCTCTGGTTATCCCTGGGAACCCTCTCCTTGAGACAGTTTTTCAAAGAAAAGACTCAGCTGGTAGGTATTACAGGGAGGGGGCGGCCAAACTCTCCTCCTGTGTCCTTAATTTTTCCTAGGGATGAGCCCCCTTGTCCTCCTCCTACCTGGCTCATTGTCATTGCTACAGCCATCCAGATGGCTCCTGGCTTGCCAGATGCACCAGCTCCTGGTCGGTCTGCTTACCTGCACGAAGAATGCTTGGGCCAATTACTACTCACATGTAAAGAATAAGACGCCGCCTACCCAGGGTGGCACAAACTGTTGGCACCACCACAAGAAAGCAAGGAAGGAAGGAAGGAAGAAGAAGGTGCCAACAAGGTGAGCCATCCAGGTGGCCTGGTAGAAGGTGTCTCTGGAAATAAGTACTGTACTTTGGTGCATTGCTCCTGGCTTCCAGCTGTCTGAGGCAGTTGCCACATTCTGAATAATAACAGAGCTGGTTCACAAGAGACGGAAAGCTGAGAATGACGGAGACCGCAGACTGACTGAAACCATCAACAGACAAATGCGGTCATAACTCTATTTCGATATTCAACCCCTCTCTGGGGTTTGCTCAGTTCTTTGCCACAGTGATTGCAAAGAACTTGTAACTTTTTTCAAGTTAAGCATACTGTTTTGGCAGTATGTTGTTGTTTAGTCGTGTCCGACTCTTTGTGACCCCATGGACCAGAGCACGCCAGGCCCTCCTGTCTTCTTTGGCGGTATAGTATGACAATATTTCTTTAAGTGTGGGGGGCCTTTAAGCCCAGCTGGCTTGGGTTCTGTCTTTAAAAACTGACTTCTTTGGACTTCTATCAAGAACAGTGGGGTTGATTTTACTAACAACAAACATAATTTTTGTGGGTGAATAATATGCACGGGGTACACTATGCAACCACCACAGAGTCATTTTCTGGTAACCGTCGTTCCCAAAGCCAAATTTCAAGTAAAATACCTTTGACTCTGGAAATGGTATGACAAGATTCACAGGGGGTGTGTCCACATTCTACTCATTCGTTCCCTCTGAAAAATTGTACATTTCTGGACTTTTTCTCCCTGATAACGTACCTTGTTAACCAAATATTCCTGTGGCAACATATGAGGAATGAACGACAGATGCACAGACAAGCCAGCTGAGCAGATCATTAACGGCATAAATGAGTTAAACCCTTCCAGTGCGCTATTCAGCTTTTATTTTGCAGTCCAGTGATGTGGTCCAATTGGAAAGTGTCTGGATCAGTTGGAAAATATATGAGACAGACAGAATTTCCCCTTCTTTAAGGACAAGATTGTTCCAGTTTTTCTCTGAAATCATCTGTCATCTGCCTCTGAGTAAAGTTGCCTGGGCTTTCTGGCTCCCCCCCCCCAAGCATCCTCTCTTGTTTCCATGACAACCAGTCACCTCCATTCTACATCTTTCCTCCTAGCTTTTCCGACATAGCCTTGAGTACAATGGCAACATATGATGAGCCTCATGATCTCAGATGGGCGGAACAACTGGGGTTTTAATCAAAACAGCAATCACATAGAGTAGTTTTGAAGTAATTAACTATGGGTAATTTAATGAGGGCAACTAGTTACTTCTGAGTAATATGCGATGCCTTTACAAACTTACAGGAAAAACAATATAACAAGAAGGATCAATGTGGCTTGATGATCATTTTGACAAGGTGCTTTTAAAAGGAATTGTTACAGCTTTTTGGACAGCCATTTTTCAGGTTTTATGCCATTTTCTTTTCCGTCCTAAGGTGGCAAAGGGAGAGTTTTTTTTCTTTTTAAAAAAATATTTTTATTGTATTTTTTCTACTTTTCGATCCTTTGCAACCAGAGTGATTTATTACAATATGTTCCATTCATTTATATTATACTCTCTAACATAGCAT